AAGTTTTTTTTTAAATTTATTGAAATTATCTATAAAATAATATTAGCTGAAATATTCTATATATAGAATATTAATATACATGAGAACTCTATGAAAAGTTAAGAAACTAGAACATAATACAAAAGTTGATATACAAAAATATAAATTTATTAAATTATAAGCAATTAAAGTTTGCATTAGATAGAACAAAACAGATAGAATAAAAATCCTTCATATTGCTATTTCTGTTTCTAGGTTTCTTCATCTAAACTTAAATTATAACTTAATATTAATTTATATGTTAATAAATAAGCCCCAATTAATTTTTTTATATTAATTTTTGTGTTTATTTCAATCTCTAAAATTAATCCTTGAAAGATATGCTATAATTCTACATATTTTTTATACATTCATCTATAAAAATACTAATTACATAAAATCTTCATCAAAACATTTAATTTTTATCGAAAATATTGCATTGATATCATCAACAGTTTCGTAAATATTCATGGAAATGGATTTAAATGAGATATTTCATATATTTTATATGCATATAAAATTATATATTTGTAAAAAATAAAAAACTTTATGTAAAATTTCCATATGTTACTATTGAAAATGTGATGAAAATATCTAATCGTTTACGTAACTTTGACACAGTGACTTTTTTATCAAATTTAATTCTGCAACTGTAACAATATTATTATCTAAGCTGTGATAATATATAAATATTACGTAATAGAGTTTCATGTATTGTTTTTTCTTTAAACTATTTATCATAAAATATTAGTTTATGAATTAATACTTTCTTTCATTTATTAAATTGGAAAATTAAAATAAATATATTAATAAAAAATATTTATCAATTTTAATTTTTGATATTATTTTTATATATTTCGATTTTTGAATATTAGAAAATTATTTATAAAACAATTATAATTTTTCATAAAAATTAAATTATTAATTATAATATTTTAATATTTAAAATTATTTATAAAATAAATTTATACTTTAACGTATCAGATTTTACATACATAAATTTTTTGTATATTAAGTATATCGATTATTAAAATTGTGAATAATAATCATTTAATAATAAATAATAAAATTTTCTATTTTTAATATCTAAAATATTAAAAATGAATAATAATAATAAAGAAATTGCATAATGTGAAGTTAGCGATTTTTTATTTTGATATTGCAATAACATAATTTTAAATTTTTATTAAATTATACACTTATATACAAAATGTTAATATATTCATGTAATATTTTTGGAAAATTAATTCTAGAAATAAATATAAAACAAATACAAAAATTAATATACAAAAATATATATATTATATTCATTACATTTTCGTTTTTTTTTTCTATCTTTAGTTCATTTATGCAAATTTCAATTTTATAAATAAATTTAATAAATAAATTTCAACATTTTTCTATCACATTTGTATTTGTTTTAGAATTGATTTTGTTCTAAAATCTCTCCTTTAAAAGTGTGCCTAAAATATATAATAATAATATATTAATAATTATAATATATTAATAATTAATATACATAACATTCCATGTTTTTTATAATATATTTACATGTTAAAGAAATTTGGAAATTATAGTAAATTTAAAAGAGATAAAAGAGTGTATAAATATTTCATTGCAATTCATCAATCTAAAGTCAATTTATTGAAATGTTAAAGCAATTATACGTATATATTCAATATATTATAATATATATTAAATTCAATATATTATAAATTTATTGTATTAAAAGAATTAATTCGAACAATTCATAATATTTATTATTGTTCAAAATAATATTTTGTTTACAGTTTTAAGTTTCGAAAAAAGAAATATTCAATTGATATTAAAAATACATATGTAGAAGAAAGATATGTAGAAATACATATGTAGTTTATATATGTAGAAATATAATTAAAAAAATATAATATTTATAGCAATCTCAACATTCTTTTTATGACTCAGTTAAGAATATAAATATTTTCAATATTTATTTTCAAAACATAGCAAAAAAATATTATTTGTTATTCGTAATATTGATTTTTTATTATTATACATTTTTATTACATTAGTATAATAATAGATTATACATTTTATTACATTAGTATAATAATAAATGTCTAACAACATTATATGTTATATTATTAAATGTATTTTTTATTATTTTTATTGAATTAGATTTTTATATAAATTAATCTTGTTATTATTTTTAAAAATCACTTATATTTTATTTAAGTAATTTTTTAATTTATTTAATATAAGTAAATTATTACTTATATTTTTGTAATTATTTTATTATTTCTACAAATAAATAATCAATAATTATAAATATAATTATAATATAAATAAATATAATTATAAATATAATCATAAATTATAATTATAAATAATTATAAATTATATATAAATAAATAAACAACAATTTATTTAACTTTAAATATATAAAATTAATTATAACATAAACAACATTATTTAATTATTTCATAAAATGAATTTATATTTTTTCTCAAGAATTTATTCCTTGTTTAAAAAAATTTTTATGAAAAAAATATAATATATCTTAATTATTTTAATTATGTGAATATTTGTTATTTTTAAAATATTATAATTGAATTATTAATATAATTATTAATTATTATTAATATAATTTAACTAATGAATATTGAAATTGGAATTTTCTTTTATTTATTTGAAATTTATTAATAATTTAAGCTATTTAGACGAAATACATAGATTTAAATAACATAGATGTCATGTAGATAATATATAGATTATTTAGATTAATATATAGATAATAGATAAGATAATAGATAATAGATAATAGATAAGAATGTAGATAATATATAAATATAATTATTATCTAAATCTAAATAATAATTATCTGATTATTTAAATAATAATAAATATTTATTTAATTATTATTATTAAAATTATTAATGAAAATTTATTGTAAATTTATAAACTTTATTCTATTTATCTATTGTATTATTACTATTAATTTGTTGTATTATTACATTATTTACATAATACTCATAACATATAAAAATAATTATAAAAATTGTAAAACCGAATAGGTAAATTAAATCGTTTTTTAATGATAATAATTATAGTATCCAATCAAAACATATTATATTTATATTAATAATAGAATTGAAAATAATTGTGATGAACTATATAAATCTTAGCATACTCAAGTTTATTTTTAGAAATTTTCGTTGAGTTTTGGTTAAGAAAAAAAAAATTTCAATATTTTATTAGTGATTTCATCTTTATCTATAATTTTTGTGTTGAAGTTTATCTTAAATATAGCATTGAATCCTTACACAATATTTTACTATTTCGCAGAATATTTTATTAATTTTGAAATGTAAATATTTAATGTTTAGCAAACTACCTTTATTTAGAATAAAATAAAATATTTGCGTGTAGAAAAAAAAATATTTTTTATTTTGGTATTGGTTGTGTAAATAATAATAATAAAAATTAAATATTACGAATTAATACTGACAAAAACGATACCTTCATTTGCAATTTTATTCTTTAAATAGATTATAATTAAAATAAGTTAAAGTAATAAGTTAATAAGTTAAATTAAAAAACGAATAAAATAAGATTAATTAGAAAAATTAATTAAAATAAGTTAAAAAAATTAAAATAAATAAAATATAATAAATTAAAATAAATAAAAATATGTTAAAATATGTATCCTCTTTCTTTTTTTTTTTTATTTATTATCTTACATAATAATTATATTTTTTTATATAATAATAATTCAACTAATGAATTTTTTTGAATGCTTTTATCCATTTTTACATTTATAAAAAATTATCAGTCAATTAATAATACTTATTTACTTAAGAAAAGAATACTACATAAAGAAATCAAATATTTCGCTTTTTGACATAAGTAAGGACATATCTTACACTTTATACATACACGTATATATACATACTTATACTACATATTTACTAAATAGATATTTTCTTTAAAAAAACTCATAAATGGAAAAATATGCATGTAAAAATATTTCAGAGTATTTCAAATAAATTGATTTTTTTTTTATTTCTATCATCAATCTTTTAATTTCATACGAATTTCATTTTATACGATATTTTATATATATATATTTATATATGTTTTTCTTAACATCATAAAATTATAATATATAATATTATAATATAAGTATAATATGAATACATAAGTAATTAATTTCAATAATAATCATAAATCATATTTTTATAAATAAAATTTATAAAAATATAAATATTATATAATATATAAGAATATATATTATATATTAAAGAATATATAAATAATTATAGGAAGTAATAAAATCATTGAACAAATTATATCATAAAATTAATTATACATATAATAATAATGTATAATAATATATAATAATTGAATAATTTCAATAAACATTTTTTTTTTTATTACAAATACAATTCCATTCGTGTTATATTATGTAATTAACGTGTTTGTTTTAAGGATAACTTTTTCTACAAACTAAATAGCAAAATTAATATCTAAATTGATATCTAAAAGTGTTGGCTGAAATTTTATTTATTTATTGAGTTATAAGCAATTTATATTAAATAATAAATAAAAAAAGAAAAATAGAATGAAGATACATAAACAAAATTTTATTCTCTTTGTTTCATTTTATCTAATATAGAATTAAATTTTTAATAGTTTATAAAAATTAGCTTAATATATATTTTTATATACTTTTGTATTTGTTTTTGTTTCTAAAATCAAGATTCAGTAGATATCTTATGAATATATTAATATTTTATATATAATATATATATATAATACAATATAACATATCTATATACTTATATACTTATACATATATATTTTGCCAAATAGCTATTATCTTAGTTATGACAATATCCCCTACTATTATTCTATCCCCACTACCGATATATATATATTACTCTCACTTCCAGTACTGTGAACGACGAAAGAGATAAGTAGATAGTTCTATGTTCAGTCGCACAGCGACCTCCGTGCGTGATGGTCGAATAATTTGTTAAAATTATTTCTCATAAATAACTGTAAAGTGACGGAAGCATGGCAGACACGTGAAAAAAACTATAGTTTGTGTTGTGTTATTCATGTGTATGCGTACCGCTTCTACGCTAAATTTTTGCAATCTATTCAAAATCGACGAATTATATATCAAAATGCGATTCGATGATCAGCTCTTTGAAGTTCTAGGTAAGTATCTCTTTATTAATAATTATCGACAGGTGGTTATATATATATTCTGTATAAAAGTTGTTTAATTTAGCCTTTTCATTCTTAAATTTCTTATATTTGTTTTTCTCTTGTGAAAATAAATTGAAATTATATTAAAATTACGATATATAATATAGTTTTAATATTAATGATATTAAGAAGGAAAAAAAATTGATTTTTATTATAACATAAAAAATGAGAAGTATGTATATTTAATAATGTATATTTGTAATGTAATAATATTACTATATATATTTAATAATAATATTAGTAGCATAAATAATAAAATATCAATAAAAAAATGAATTTAGGAATTGATTTAATACAAATTCTCTTATGTAATAGATTATTTAACATAAGTAAAATATAAAATTAATAACAAAGAAGCATAAAAAAAAAATTTAAAAAAAACGAAAAATTATTAATTATAAAATAAAATGAATGTAAAGATTATTCTTAGAAATAATAAAATGTTATAAAATATATAAGTAATAAATGTAATAAAAAAGTAATATATAAGTAATAAATATAAAATTATAAATACTTAATTTTAATTATCATATTAGTTATTATAATTTTATAGTATCTATAATATTATGATTATTATGATTATAAAGATAATAATTACAAAGGAGATATGTAACACATAATACAATTAAAAAATTACAAAACTAATTAATCTTTATAATAAAAGATACATATATAAATAATTCTATATAATTAATTAATTATAAAAAGTTTATGATTAATTAATAAAAATTTATATTTAAAAGTATTTAAAATACAAATAAATTACTATTTTTTTTTAAATTCTTAAATTAATTAAATTAAAAAATATTATATTTTTGCATTTTTAAAAAATTAAAATTAATTTTTTTTTAATACAGTAAATAAAATATTAATTTATAAAATACAATTAATTATATTGCATTAAATAATTATATAACAATGTGTTAATGTGATTTAAGAAAAATTTTTAATATAATACAAGTTATATAATACAATTAATTTTTTATAAAAAGCTATAATTAGAATCATAATAGAATCATAATTAGAACATAGAAAATAAATATAATTATTTTTAATTTTTTGAACAAATGTGATTATGTATGTAAATACTGTGATATTATATGGTAAATAACATTTTCTTTATATACAATTATTTTATAATAATTTTAATTATTTTATAATAATTTTAATTATTTTATAATAATTTTTTAAATTTAATATATATATATTATAAAATATATATATTATGTTAAAAAATTAATATTATTTAGTATATTATTATTAGTATATTATATTAATAATATTAATATTATGTTAAATTACAATTGGTTAACAGCCTTATTTAACATGTAATTTACAATTACAATTTTTCCAATTTATTTTTGCGTATAAAATAATAAATTGTTTATAGAATAATTGAATCACTTAATTATTCTACATATTATATATATTTACAAATCTATTATTTCTTTAGTTTTAAATAAAATTAAATTAAATAAAAAAATATAAATTATTATATTTAATTAATAAAATTAAAAAATATTTATAAAATAGTTAAAAAATTAATTATTAAAAATCTATAATTTTATTATATATTATATATATTATATTATATTTTATTATATATTATATATTATTATATATTTATTATATATTATAGTATACATAATGTATACAATTATAATTTATATAATGTAATAAATATATGTTTATGTGTTTGAGGTAATTATATAAGATGGGAAAAATTCTAGATAATTTTTAATTAGAAATTTTAATCAGAAAGTATTTACTAGTCATTATTTTTTTAAAAGTTTATTTAATATTTAGTTTTTTAAAAAAATGCAATTTAATTAATTTATAACAAATTAAGTAATAAAAATTAAGTAAATTAAGTAATAAATATAACTTGCAAAATTATTTTTTTTAATTTTTGAACTTTCTTATGGAATATTTTAAATCTCATATTACTGGTACATGACAAAATAATCATCATACCAACTATATATATATATATATATATATAAAATATAAAATATTCCAATACACAAACTATTATAATATAAATATATAATAAAAAATATAATAAAAAAAATTTACTCTATTCAAAATTTATAGCGATTTATTTTCATTTTTAATTATTTATTTAAAAAAAATGATTTTAAATAAAATAATCAGCTTTCTATAATTTTATAATTGTAATTTGTGGTATTATAAAGTATTACTAAGAATAATAAATTTAATTATCATTATTATCGTAATATTTACATAAATAATTTCAAAAATAGATAATGAAAATTAAGTTTTTATCTTTTTATTTTAAATATTATTGAAATTAACTATCAAAATTTAATTTATTTGCTATCTAAATTTTGTTATATAAATTTGAAAAAAAAAGAGAATATTTATATTTATATATATATATATATAATTATTTATATATATATTCTCTTTTTACATATATATATTAAGAGAATATTTATAAAATAAATAATATAGTTTTACTAAAATAAAAAAATAAAACTTATATATTAAAAATCTTATATATTAAAAATATTATTAATTGAATATGTTAATATATTAGTATTACATAGTATTAATAAAGATATTGGTAAAACAATTTTAAAAAGTTGATTCTAAAAATCAAAATTAACAAAAAGATTAATATACAAAAATCAATTAAGATTTATTTATTAAATTATAAACAATTTAAATTTGTCAGATAAACTAAAATAGAGATAGAGTGAGATTGCTGTGTTCGTCATACTGCCGCACTATCTCGTTTAATTCAATGCAAAGATAAATTATTTAATGTAACTTATTTATATTTTAAATAATTCTCAACATTTTTATATAAATTTTTATATAAATATTAAATACTTAGTAAATTAAATACTTAGTTTTAAAATTCTTCCAAGATATTTCACTATATAAAGAAATATATACATATGTATATTAAAAATTTTTCATATTTTTTTTTTTTATAGTAAAAAAGTTAAAATCATGAAAATATTAAAATAATTAATTTAATATTATATATTAAATTATAATATTAATATAATATTTAATATTAATATTAAAATATAATTATATTAATATTATTATTATTATTAATATTAAAATATTAATATAAAATTATAATATTAATATAATATTTAATATTATATAAATATTAATTATTTTAATATTTGCACGAAGTATTAACAAATTTCTTATAGATGAGCAAATGATATTAATATTAATAAATAAATAATATTAATATTGATAAGATAAAAAATGCGAAATTAATATTAATAGATAATATAACTTTTTTTCTAAAGAAGACATTATTATCTATTTTTATAAATTTATATAAAATATATTTTTATATTTAACATATAACATATAACATTTTCAATATAAAAAAATGTATCTTTTGTAAAATTTTTCTTTTATAAAAATTATTAAATATGAGATATATTATCTTAAAATATTTAATTATTCTATTAATTATTTTAAATTATTTAAGTAACATAGATTTATTTTATTAGAATTTTATAATTTATTATAAATATAATAAATTAATAAATTATTAGAAAATATCTATAAATATCTATAATAAATTATTAGAAAAAATCAATCCTCATATTTTGAGTATAATGCTATTATACTCTATTATAGTATAATGCTATTATAGCCAAATTATATAATAGTTAAATAGAATGATAACTAATTTTCAGTATCAATTCATTAAGGCTAAATCTTATATAAATACAAATTTCATTTTTAATTTATCTTAATCAAACTTTACTATTTATTCAATTATTCACTTCTTCTATTTAATATTATAGTTATTACAGAAATTTTAAAGATTAATTTTAAAAATTAACTTAATATTTTCCTAATTATTTATTATTAAAATTAAAAGTTATAATTTTTTAATGAAAATTTTGTTTTTCTATTATATTTTGTAATCCTAATGTGCATGTTAATGTTATACATATGTGTGTGTGTGTAATAATACAATAGTTTCTAATTTGTAATATTTAAAATAAATTTTTAACAATCATTTTCTGAATTCACTATTATTAGTTTTAGTTGATTTTTAGTAATTTATTAATTTGACTTATATATATATATAATATAATTATATTGCTAATATAATATAATACATTGCTATATTTTTCAAATATATTAGAATAATTTCGAAAGGAATTAGGAATCTAATCATTTACTAGTCATTTTATAATGATAAAACCGTGTTCTTTTTTTAAATTTTCTTTATTTTTTGTTGGGGAAAAGGATGACAAATTATTTGAATTAAAAAATGCAATTCAAAATAAGAAAAATTTCGTTATATTAATTTTATATAAAACATTTATTATTATAATATATTTTTTATAAAAAAATATTACATAAATAAATTATATTCTGTATATGTTTTTGAAGTAGAGATTTTTAAATTTGAATATTTTATGAAATATATATATTAGGATAAAAAAGTCAAAATTGTATGATTATTTTCTAATAATTAAGAAAACTTGTCTTTAATTTTTCCAGATTTTGTATGTAAAAACTAGTTTCTATAAAATTAATTTTTCAGGTATTGCTAGTTTTGAAGTTTTAATTGAAACGTATTGTTTTACTTTTTAATTTTTTTTTTAAATATATTTTCAATATTTTTGTCTTAATTTTATGTATTATTGATATTGTTTCAAAATAGATGTGTAAAATGGTGTGTTCACAATATTAATGAGTAATTTAGAAATTCTTATGAAATGATAATTTTTTTTATTTCGTATCTACTCTAAATGTCTTCATCCAAATTAATTTTATATAATAATAAAAAATATTATAATAAAAAATATTATTCGCTGAAAATTAAATTATTATAAATTATTGAACAAAAATAATTAGAAAATAATAATTTTTAAATTGTTTGCATATTTTATCAATAAGATTTTAACTTAAATAATAAAATTTAAATAAATAAT